TAATATTGGAAAGGGGTATTACAATGTCTGCAGAGAAGTTTAGTGTTGGTCTCACAAGTTTAAGTTGTTGGAAAGGCCTTGGTGTCTTATAATGGAAAGCTTTCTGCATATGCTTCATGCTCCTGGGATGCAGCACGTTGGAGAACAAGCAGCAAATATAGCTAAGAAGCACTGCAGTAAATCAAACAGCCAGCCCAGTGCCAGTCTTCATGCACTCATGCCAGCCTTTGCCGTGCCACTGAAGTGTTTCAGCAGTGTTCTTCATGGGACTGGTGTTGCTGGCAGACTGCAACACAAGAAACCAGTCTGGGTCTGGCACCACAGCCCACCTCTCGAGCCCCTTCTGAAAGCCAGGCAGCACAATGTGTCTCCTGAACCTACAGCAATCTTGTTTTGGCAGTCAACTCAACTGGGTTAGCATTTTGCGTACGTCCATGCTGTGCTTCCTGCTACCAGGGGTAATTGGCTTTTTTTACTCCAGGGCATACCTGCCCTTCCAAGATTCCAGATAACAGAAACAGTTTCCCTTATCAAGGGCAAACTGTCTTTGTCCTTTTAAGTGGTGTTCCTCCTTGCTTCCTGACTTCCATATCTCATACTTGTAACATGTACCAGGTATGGTTATTTTTACACCTCCTCATTCAAAACCACGCATGTTGTGCCCTGAGCAGGTGTGTTATCAGCTCCCACAGTGTCATCATCTGTTACACCTGCCTGTTAGGAATCCAGCATATCACTGCTAACAAAGGACCTGCTTGTGTCTGAACTGGCTCATGTGCACCCGGGGTTGGACTGTTTGTTTTTTGGAGGAGTTTGCTTTTACGTATCCACTTCTTATAATGTCACTTTTCAAGAACCTCTCTGCCTATGCATGTGGCTTTAAAGAATACTAACCAGCAGAAGCAGGAGGGAGGATTTACACCTGGAACCTCTTAAACTAGAATATAAAATATTAAAAGAAACACTTTATGCAATAACTCAACCGCAGTGCTCAAAGTCATGAGACACGTTCGTAAAAGGCACATGGACAAGGTCAAGGACTTCACTACACAGGCCCAGCAATTCAAGCCTTGTTTACAATAAAATCTAACTTCAATAGAAGCAGTCAAACACGCAAGGAATATCTGAAGCTGAATCTATGGTAAAGAACTTAAAAGTTCTGAATATTCCTTGGATGAAGACAGTATCATTCATCTCACTGAACTACAGGACATGAAAAACTTCCCTGTGTAGCCACGTACCATAGCACAGCATCCGCTGGCACCCATAGTACAGAGATGATCCATAGAGTTACCTCGAGGTAAGTAATAAAGAAGTAGTTTGTACTTAGCTATTAACTTTGAAAAATATTGTTTGTTCAGCATAGCAGGGTATATTTAGAAGAAATAAAATTTGGCCATCAACCAAGCAAAGACCCATGTAACAAAAAGAGCCAAAGGCTTTATCTATGGCTAGATCTAGACAATGTTTTTAGGACATTTTATCAACTGACTCTAAATAATGTAACAACAGCCTTACCCTGAATGAAGAACAATAACAACCAGGACAGATGGAGTAAGTAAGTGGACTTCAGAAAAGTTTGGCTGAACTAAACTTACGTCAGTAGTAGTATGTCAGGGCCACTTGATAATATAAAACCAAAATGCATTTGGATTGAACGAACCAGACAGCATTCTCCGTCTGGAATCACAGCCACTCAGTACCTGCACATAGCTGAACTCCTTTTATTGACGAAATTAAAATACTTAAGTTTTTCACTTACTAGCTCTCAATATTCTGTTCATGCATGTAGCCAAAGATTTTCCCAAATAAATGTTATAAACAAACTGTGCTAAAAGGAAGCCAGAGCGTCTTCCTCCCACGTTCCCTAGAAACAGTACATCAGTTTACTGTTAAGTGGCATCAGTCTACCAAAGTTCAGTCATCTCTTCTGCCACATTTTGTCATATTAAATGTTTGGAATGCTAAACAATCACTTAAATTTAACAGGCACACAGGCTTTTTATTTGAATTATAAGCCATCTTCTCTTAAGCACATACAGTTACCATGCCTGGGACATAACGAAAGACAGAATTGTTTATGGGGTCAATCAAAGTTCCATGGATTTTTTACAGTTGGAGGAATAACATATGATGAAAAATGCCCCAAATTTAATATTTTAATTAAATTAATTATACATGATGAGGGTCGAAGACCAGTTTAGAATACATATTTAGCAAACTGCTTGAAAATATCCTAATCATGTCAGTCTCCCTATAGTTTAAAAGAAAAGTTTTGTTTCCATCAAAACATCAAGAGATGAGAGAGACTGCCAAGAAACACTGAGAAGACAGTATGCAAGAAGGGGAAAAGGGACTAATGGAGTATCAGTCCATTTAGGCTTTGTAAGACACTGATTACTAATTTGATCTATCAATCAAATCTGCATCAAATAAAACATAAGGATTCTTGATTTATTTCTCTCGTTTAGACCTCTAATGACAACACAGACTCTTTGTAATGTTTCCACCATCTGCTGGAATTATACCATATAGTCCACTTATTTATTTTGGTTTATTCTAAAATTAGCAGAAGAAATAATAAACAAAGAATTCAAAGAACATGGACAATAACATCCTCATCCCAGATTCTATCACCCTTCATTAGATTAATACAACCAGATGGAGCAAAAACCTTATAACCAGCTGCAACTGCTGCCACTAAGAGCCACCAGTTACTCACTTATGTCCTTCAGAAAAGTATTAAATGTGATTTCAAGAATTAACTAACCAGGAGAATTTACAAGAACCAAAAAACTTCAAGTGAGTTAATTACTTCGGTCCTGATAAGAAATTTCAAAATCAAAAAGAAGTTTTTTTAAAAGAGATAAGCAGGCCAAAACCACACTTGCTTCTAGAAAACTAGGCACAAGACTGTCTCTGGTACCCTTCTTAAAACGCATAAGAAGCTCAGTGAAAAAATCACATTTACCAAAACCTAGCAGAGTCCTGGAGTCATTTATTGTTTCTTTGTTTGTTTGCCATTGCCAAAGAGGGAGATTCTGCAGAAAGGGGTGAAAACAAGGCAATGGTGAAAACAAGGCAAAAAGAATACAGCAACCTCTGACATTTTTACCACCATACCAGTATCTGAAGATGCTAAAAGCCCTAAACTACTAGAAATATAATCAACAACCAGGTCACTTTTTAAAACAACTTAAAATAGATATGGCTAAAAAGAGCTTAGTATTACAAAATTTTTCCAAATGGTATTGTGATATGTATTGAACCAAACTGTATGGATGTTAAGAAGTCTGACAGAGATGGCACACCAGGCTACAGGAGCCTTCAGTCTGACCTGGCACAATCATTCCTATTGCTGATGAATGAGGTGTCTGGTTATTTTATCTCAAGTCTCCGATACAGGTCCATTTATCTACCATTGCCCTTGACAATATTATTGTCACTGCTGTTCTGCTAGAGGTTACTGCTCCCAAGACCCAGGGGCAGAACAGAACACGGACGCACACGTATGCTCTCCTGATACGACATCAGGCACTGATTCATTAAATGTTTAAACCATCAAATTTTGCACATCAGTGACTGAATCCTATATTGCTGCTGCAGCAGACAGCTTGCTACAAAGGCAGAAGCAAAGGTCTGAGGGCACAGGGACATCTTAAAGTGCCACAGTTGTGCATTTGGTGAGCGTATGTCACGGCCACCTAAATCTCTGCCTCTACTAGAGTTTATGAGTGCCCCTGTACCAGCCAAGTCTTACTGTGAACAATTACTTCACGTCAACAAGCGAGTTCAGTAAAACTGAATGTTGTACCAGTTTCCCAGGAAAAAAAAGGTACAACATATGCTTTTTGCAGAATGGAATCTTCTCTAGTTTTTTCTCCTAGAACAAGTACATTTCTTGTGACTACCATTTTCCACTCATCCTTCTGATGGACCCCATCTAGGAAAAAATTTAAAATACTGTGACTCTCCAACCATTCAGCCAAACAAGGATACATCTCATCCCACCTTCTTTCTCATAAAATCATAGAATGGTTAGAGTTGGAAGGGACCTTAAGGATCATCGAGTTCCAACCCCCCTGCCATGGGCAGGGACACCTCCCACTAGAGCAGGTTGCTCAAAGCCCCATCCAGCCTGGCCTTGAACACTTCTAGGGATGTGGCATCCACAACTTCTCTGGGCAACCTGTTCCAGTGTCTCACCACCCTCACACTAAAAAATTTCTTCCTAATATCTAATCTAAACCTCCCCTCTTTCAATTTAAAACCATTACCCCTCCTCCTATCACTACATTCCCTGATAAAGAGTCCCTCCCCATCTCTCCTGTATGCTCCCTCCAGGTACTGGATGGAGAAAGATGTGAAATGACACACGCCACTAACAGGTTGTTCTTCGACAGTATCAATTATGGGGGGGGAGAGGGGAGGAAATTAAAAATGAGGGGGTGTGAATCAAGTGTTATCAGATCCATCTGCAAAAATACCCTCTCCGCTCATCATTTGAATGCCTCAAAGAGAATACAGAATACAGCTACAATTAATAACCCTTTTTAAACGCCAGGCTTATTCCTCCCTAGTTGGAGGGCGCTTTCGCACCCAGGTTTGGATTTTGTGCGAGGCACGCCGTTAGTCAGCAAAGTTTTGACTTTCCATTTGTCCCAGAGCCTGCTCTTCAGGACTCTAGCGCCAAAGTCCACGCCGCAGCCGGTCCGGTTCCTCCAAGTCGTCGTCGTCGTTTTCTTCTTCTTCTCCTCCTCCCAGCCCCGCCAACGCCCTCGGAGGCACAAGCCCTCGGTACCTGTGAAGTTTGTTCCGCGGGGAAAGGGAGGCCGGCGGCTCCCTCAGGCCCAGGCCGGGCGGCGGGAGCCCCCTCCCCGCTCCCCTCAGGCGCCTCATGGCGGCATCCCCCGTCCCACAGCCGAGTGGGGGCCGGGCCACCCCGACACACCCCCCGCCGCCGCCGCCCTCCCCCCGGCTCCCTCCTCCCCGCTACTCACAGAGCCCGTTGGAGCCAGTGCTGGTGAACATGGCGCCGGCCCGGCCGCGGCGGGCGCCGCCGGCGAAATACACACACGAAATACACACACGCACACCCCCCCCCGCGTCCCCGAGGCCCGGTAGACCCCGAGGAACGGCGGCGGGAGGCGGACGCCGCGGCTAAGGCGGCCGCGATGGGCCAAAACGCCGCCGTTCAGCCAAGCGTACGGCGCCCCCTGCTGGACCCGCCGGGGGAGCGGCGTTGGGTGGTGGCTTCCCCCGCCTCAGCCTCGCCACTCCCCCCTGCTCCGCTCGCCCGGCAGGGCAAGCTCGCTGCCAGCCAACCGGGTGGCCACCGGTCCTTCCAGAGGGCATACGTCCTCTCGGTGAACCCGCAGGGCAGCTGCTGGTGGCGGGGAGGGCGGCGGCGGCAGGCCCTAAGGCGGGGAGGGAGGGCGGGCGCGCTGAAAGGCCTACCTGCGCCGTGTGTCATCACTTCTGGCTTTATGAAGGCCATTTGAATTAGAAATGCGTGGCCGCCGCGGGGCAGACTGACTCGTCCCAGCGGCGGGAAACGCTGACAGCCCAGGCTCACCCTAATTTTGTGGAGTACATGAGCTGAGGGCCTAATTAGGAGCCGTGGGTAAGCGCTTACTACAGCTAACGGAGACAGCATCACAGAATCACATGGCGTTGGAAGGGACCTCTGGAGATCATCTAGTCCAACCCCCCTGCCAAAGCAGGTCCTCCTGCAGCAGGTTGCACAGGAATGTGTACAGATGGGTTTTGAATGTCTCCAGTGAAGGAGACTCCATCACCTCTCTGGGCAGCCTGTTCCAGTGCTCTGCCACCCTCAAGGTAAAGAAGTTCCTCCTCATGTTTAGGTGGAACTTCTTATGTTCCAGTTTGTGCCCGTTTCCTCTTGTCCTGTCACTGGGCACCACTGAAAAAAGACCAGCCCCGTCCTCCTGACACCCACCCTTTAAGTATTTATAGGTGTTGATCGGATCCCCCTCAGTCTTCTCTAGACTAAAAAGACCCAAGTTCCTCAGCCTCTCCTCGTAAGGGAGATGCTCCAGACCCCTAATCATCTTTGTAGCCCTCTGCTGTACCCTCTCCAGCAGTTCCCTGTCCTTCTTGAACGTTGTCAATATTGAGACGTAGTCAATACATTCAGTGAAGAGCTTTTTGGATCTTTTTTTAGGGTGAAGTTAATTGCTGTCTCAGTTCCACTGACTGCATCCTGGCTAGCTGTAACGGTAAGTGGTACACCTAGCTCTCCACCAACATGGTAGACATCTAATATAAGGTCAGCCAAATTCCCAGTTTCGTTCAGGTGAAGTATAATAATAATGTGGTATAATTCTGTAATAAAGCTGAGATTACAGAATCACAGAATGATATGGGGTTGGAAGGGACCTCTGGAGATCATCTAGTCCAACCCCCCTGCCAAAGCAGGTTCACCTAGAGCAGGTTGCACAGGAACGCATCCAGGTGGGTTTTGAATGTCTCCAGAGACGGAGACTCCACCACCTCTCTGGGCAGCCTGTTCCAGTGCTCTGCCACCCTCAAAGAAGTTTTTCCTCATGTTGAGATGGAATTTCCTGTGGTCCAGTTTGTGATTGCTGCCCCTTGTCCTTTCGGCAGGCACCAATTAAAAGAGTCTGGCCCCATCCTTTTGACGCTCCCCCTTTAGGTATTTATAAGCATTGAGGAGGTCCCCTCATCATTCAGGCACCAAATTTCAATGCCATTTTCCAGTCCGTGTGGAAATCGGAGTTTACGTAAATAAGTCACAGTAGGCATTGGAAAGGTGAAGATGCTCTGCTCTGCGTCACAGAAGTGAATGTCGGAGAGCAACAGGCCGAGGTTTGTGCACTCGATAGAACCGAGGGCCTCAAAGTCAGGTTTAGTGTACCGCAGTACCAGACTGAGAACAAAGGTGGCCTGTCAGCTAGGGTGGCAATTTTAAATAGGCAACCAATAGGAAAAATTTTTTGGGTCAGTGTCCTGGGCTGAGAGACACAGGACTAACTTTTCTTCTAATGCTGCGGAAAACTGCACTTTTAGGAGACGCTAGTGTCTGAATTCATGAAAATATTTACTTTATAGCCAGCCAGGCTCTATGGCATTGAAGGTCTTAGTGTTTTTGAGCCTTGCCAGGTGCAAGGATGAGGAGGAGCAAGGCCTGGGCGTTTGACCCAGGCTGGCCAACAGGATTATTTCGTACCACAAACGTCACATTCAATATAAATTAGAAAAGTTTGCTGTGTAGCTCTCTCCCCCTTGATGGCGGTGGTCCAGAAAACCCCTTGCCCCAGTGCCGGACCCCTGAGGCCTTCCCTTCCTCCTGAAGCCATTGTGCTCGCAGTGTCCGCCATTTGCTGTCCCTGCTGGGAGTGCACAGCTTACTGCTGAGAGAACTGGCCGAGTATAATTCTTGTATATTTTATACCAATATCGGGATTAATACTGTTTCTTTAGTATTATTGTTAATTATTTAGTCTTAGTCTATTAAATCTATTTATATTTCAACCCTTGGATTTCTGTTCCCCGATTCCCCTTTCCGGGTGGGGAGGGGTCATGGGGTGATAGAGTAATTGTCTAAAGGACAATAAATGGTTATGGGTTTTCTCAAACCATAACAGTCAGTCATAAGTTTTTTAGATTCCATAAACTTTTCATACATAACACCAAATATGAATATGCCTTTTAATAATTACATTCAAATGCAACTATCCTGAATGCAAAGATCCGGACACTTTGTAAACAAAATCTCTCAGTATTGTCAAGGGGACAAAAAACGATCTTAGCTTGCATCCACAAAGATGTAAGCTAAGTTCAGCATATCAGTATGTAATTTTAAAATGTCCCAGAACTAATTTCAGATTTCTGTCACTCACTTGTCTTCTCTGTACGGGGCTCGCAGTCAGGCAGGTAGGAATGGGATTCTCAGTTGGCTCACAGCACAGGAGGTATGTCTAAACTAGCCAAAAGGAAGGACCAAAACAGCGGTGCATCAAAAATCCTGACTGTCTCCCAGGCTGAGGTTCTTTCCTCAGCAAAGAATCTAAATTGGATTCACAGCACGAAACCCATCGTGTACTTTGTGTCTTTGGCTGCAGTCAGCTGGCTTACTCTTTGCTGTTAAAGCACAGCTGGAAGAAGTGATTTGCTACAGAAATTCTCCTTCCTTTCAAATGCAAATGGCTCTGGCTGCTGTATGTTACATATGCAAACTCTGTCTTGCCAGTATGCTGCTGAATGCGCATAACTCTACATAAGTCACTGGCAACCCTCATTCCTAAGGAAAGGGAAGGTAAATAATGAGGTGCAAAGCTTGTAACAGTTCCAGTGTGAAACCTCATTGGGAAAAGCTTGGGTGCCTCCTGAAGCTTTAGGAATCTAATGAGGTACTCATGGGTTGATTAATTAATCACCATTCTGGACTTTTTTGGCTAAGCTTCGTTTAAAGTAATTAAGCCTTTTTGTGGATCTGGATTTCATATAGGTGAGGATAAAACCTGCAAACTTTTCCAGCATCGCCTGTGTAATAGGCTTAGCATTGCTGTTTTAGTGCTAAAGATAAAGCTTGCTTTCATTTCTTTTCACACTCACACAGGAAGGAGAGACAGAGCAATCATTCATTTAGAGGTTTAAAGTGTTCTGCTGTTTTATAAGCTCAGTTTTGAAGATTTCTCTAGATTGATGTCCTACAAGGTAATCATATTAGAGGGATTCTTTTCTGCGACACTGAGCCCTGGAATTGGATTGAAGTCAGAATTATTAAACATACTAGAGACTTACGCATGTATTTTGCTGAATAAGGATGCATTTGGGAAAATATTTGAGAGCTATTTTGAAAGCAGCTCTGTGGACTTGTTATCACTGACAGATACAGCAAACCTGAGTGAGTAGCAATAATTGGCAAGCTTCTCTCAGCACTATACCAGAATACTTGCAGATTTGTCAGTACTGCTGGGATATTTATTTGCCACTATCTTATTTAAGTACATACAAATTTATTACTGAGTTTATGAAACATTTAACAATATCCCCTGTTTCAAAAAAGATTCATTAGGTCAGTTTTTCTGGGATTAGATCAGATGAGGTACACTGTGTTTTTGAGAAACTACATAGACACGCTCATAATTATAGTTTCACCTACTGATTGAATGGTAGAGGAAATGTAGGTTTTGCCCTCAGATACAGTGCCAAGCATGAGGTTCTTCATCCCAACACTGTCAGTGTCAACTGGTAGCTTGTCATAAGAATTGTGCAAATTATTTGCCTTATTTAAATATACAGTGTAGTCCACTTTGGAGTTAAATGAAATCATCAGTCCTCATGCTTGCCTTGGAACATATCCCAGAATAGGAAGGCTAGCACTTATCTACTAATCTACTCAGAACAAGCTTAGAAGGCTTTGACACTGCTCAAATGTCAGCTTAAATATCTCCATTTGCTTATTAAATCTAGTTAGCGGGGTCAATGTGGTATGTTCAAAATAAAGTGATTTAAATTTCCTGCTCAGAAGAAAATCCCAGGAGGCTGGAATTTGTATTTCTATCTGTTCTCTGACATGAATAGATTGCTTTCTTCTCTGAACTTGTGATGTTTTTCAATCAGCTCTTAATTACTAATTAATCCCTAACAGTCGGATGCTCCCCTGCCATACAGAATGAAGGATAGTGGCAGAGTAAAACAGGGTGGAAATGTAACACCTCCCTTGCTGTCCTAACTCGCTGCGGGTTAATGATTCTGCAGGTTAATAGCAGGTGCAGGTTATGTCCCTCTGACGTCTGGGGTTTCCGTGGCATTCATAGTAACACCTGCACCTATTCCAATTACCTGAAATATTAGCAGATACCCGAAAAGAGGTTAATGTTAAACTTGATGATTCCAGTAACCTCTCCCTTCGGTTTCCAACCCTTGTCTTCAGTTACAGAAGGCTGTAAAGAAGAAAGCTGTGCACCACACATGGCCTACAGAGGAGGCTTCTGTGGCAGCACAGCTTGCCGATAGCTGCTTGCACGGGAACAGGAGGAAGGGCAGAAGGCAGAGATTCACGGGGCTGAAATCAGACTGACTGGTCCTGTGCCTTTCCAAAATTAGAGAATTTCTCTCACTCCCTCAGAAGCGAATAAATCTTTGGATTGCAGCAGACCTGCTGTCCTCCTAAGCTGTAGTGGGTTTGTTTTA